TGTGTGTGTGAAAACTCATGTCAGCATATTAAGATTATGATTGGTTCAATGTCTGACCCATAGTAGTCAAATATGTACTGCCCTCGCTCGAGAGATACACACACCTCCAAACTTATGCTTTTCACTCAATTTTCTCGCGGTGTATCCTAAGTTGAATCCATTTAATTCTGTTCATTACCCTCTCTTAGTTTGGATAAACATTACTCCTACAAGTCTACACTTCAACAAGTCAGGATTCTCCTATATTTTTTATCTCTTTAACCTTTAAGACTAGACTAAGTTACTTGCTTCTTATCAAATGTGTAGTTTTGTCAACTGGATGTCTGGGGCGTAATCAATGTATTTGAATATTTTTTTTCTTTCTTTTTATCTTTTTTTCTCCATTTCTTTTTCTCTTTTTATTTGATTATCTTCTCATTTGCTTTCTATATAACCCATGTAACGGGTTTTAGGCTGATAACTCCCAAGTCAGATGACCATAGGGCACCAGTTAATTCTTCTTGATTTTCCTCATCAATGTTACCTGCATCTGCTTCACCTTCAAACACAAGTTCTCTGTTAAGGAGGTCTGCAGCAAGTGATTCATCAGGCTTATATGTATCAGTTGTGGTTAAAGGAATAGTTTTATGACTTGACTCAACGAAGGGAAGGAAACTTATGGTCATTTCAGAAGTTTGTGACTGAGCTAGCTTATTTATAAAACCTGTTCTAAAACGAAATTCTGACTCATTGAACACAACATGTCTCGAAATGTAAATTCTACCTGTTGAACTCAGACATTTATATCCTTTTTGTGAATCACCGTAACCAAGGAAGACACATCTCTGTGAATGAAAACTGAACTTGTGCTTCTGATAAGGTCTAAGGCAGGGATAGCATGTGTAGCCAAAGGTTTTCAGCAACTTGTAATCAAAAACTCTTCCAAATAAGGTCTGATAAGGTGACTTGTTTTTAAGGATAGAAGTCGGTAGCCTATTTATTAAGTAGGCTGCTGTTTTGAAAGACTCCCACCAATAGAATAAAGGCATTTGGGCTTGAGCTAGCAAAGTCAGACCAGTTTCAGTAACGTGCCTGTGTTTTCTTTCTGCCCTACCGTTTTGTGCAGAGGTGTTGGGGCATGAGTGTCTAATTTCTATGCTTGATTCTAGAGCAATTTTATGAAAATTCCTAAACTCTCCTCCCCAATCTGATTGCAGAGTTTTAATCTTTCTCTCCAGTTGGTTTTCAACTAATTTTTTGAACTGAGTAAAGATATTCAGGGCTTCAGATTTATGTTTCATGGCGTAGATCCAAGTAAAACGGCTATGGTCATCCACAAAAATTATGTAGTATCTAAATCCAGAGGTAGAATTTAGGGGTGCTGGTCCCCATACGACAGTGTGTACAAGGTCTAAAGGATTTGAGGCATATGATGAGGTGGTATTAAAAGGCAATGCATGAGATTTCCC